CCACAGCCTAAAAGCAGTGAGTATAAAGGAAGATGGCTGGACAGTGATGAGAGCTGGCGTCTGGCTGTGGTCTTATGGGGAAGGCAGTGGCAGGGCAAAGAGGCTGACAGGGGCAGACGCTAAACAATTTATAATGCCCAGTGTTGCACGTCATGCACATAAGCACAAGATGCTACCTGAGCATGAACAAGGCCACAAAACCTGATCCTGGAAGAAGGAGAGGATGTCTCTGGAAGCCAGCCAGAGAGAGGATAAGCCCCAAATACAGGAAACAGGTATGGCAGGTCTCAGCAGCAATGGGGATCACAGGGGCTACAAGAAGTTCAGTTCTGCTAGAGGACAGAATGCAGAGTAGGGGAAAGAGGAACCCAGGTCTTGTGGGGCTTAGTGAACTCTGCTTGGCATTGTCCCAGAGGCAATGGGAAGCAACTGAAGAGCGTTAAGCAGTGAAACATTTTTTGAAAAAAGTGTTTTAAGCAAGTTAAGTGCTGAGCTTTTGGCTTAGGTGTCATGTCTTGGTGTCACTCACCTAGAGAGAGAACACAGGTGTAGTCTGTTAATTTGAGGTGTAAGCTCTCTTGGTGATGTCCAGAGTGGAGCTGTACTTACAGTTTTTTTATTTTCCCACACATGCCTTTTTGAAAATTCTCATTAAATTAAATATATGAGGGACTGATATCATATGACTGTTGGATTTGATTTCAACTGATAGCACAGTGTCTCAGTCCATTCGGTCCGCTATAACAAAATATCACAGGTTGGATGCCTTATAAACAGCAGAAATTTATTTCTCAGTTATGGGGCTGGAAGTCAAAAGTCAAGGCACTGGCAGGTACGGCATCTGGTTAGGGAAAGCTTTTGTTTCCTAGATGGCCATCTTTCCCTGTAACCACACAAGGCAGAAGAGCAAGGGATATTTCTTGAGCCTCTTTTAAAAGATCTCTAATTCCACAAATCACCTTCCAAAGGTCCTGCCACCTAATCTTATTACCTCGGGGGTTAGAATTTTAAGATAAGAATTTTGAGGGAGACACATTCAAATCATAGCACCTAGGAAGAGCATTCTAACATACTACCCAAGACCCATGAACAAATGGCAAGTTAATGGTAGAGACCATTGCTTTCGTCACAAAGAAAACCCAGTTGCTGCTGGGTACCTATGCATCCCTCTTGTCTGTACAGGTTGTCCTGCTCATTTACCTATTTTCTCAAGGGTGCTGTAGAAAATTTCCTTGAAAAAGTTAAAAGGGATAATGCTGTGCTTTGCAGATAATTGGATTTCTTTAACATTCTGGACAGCTGAAACTTTTTTTTTGTACTTTTGATGTGTTATGGCTCAAAAATTCCCTGGCCAGGGCAGGGCCATCAGATACTATTTAAACTTTATAATGAGGCTGGATGATTTGACCCATTTTTAATTTCATCTGAAGGATTAGGAAGGTGGACCAAATAGATTTTTAAATATACTTCCACTTTCAAATTTGTATAAGTCAACAAATCTATGGAAAATGAATTTTTGGGGAATCTTTTTATTCCCCTTTGGGACCTGTCTCTGCTGCCTTGTAGGTAATGTGGTTTAGTGGATAGATGACCAGCCTCAGAAGTAATATGCTTATTGATTTGCATTCTTCATCTTACATGCTTTCCTCTGACAGGCAGTTTAGATAATCACTTTACTTCAAGATCTTTGGCAAGCATGCTTTCCTGTGACCTGGGGAACATACACTATTTTGTTATGGTTGAGAAGACAGATTTGTGTTGCTGAAATGTCTCTTAAAAGATATCAGCTAAGCTTATTATTTGAGGTGAGACTAGCACCTGGAAGTTCTTTTTCTCCTTTGGGATATAAGTCATACCTCTCTGCTTGTAAAAACTAGCTCAACTGCTCAAAAACAAATTCCAAGAGATGCTATCAATGCCACCTTGGTAGGGAGAAGACATTTGCCATTGTTTCTGAATGCTATGAAGTTAAGGTGAAGTGGAGTTCAAAATAAAATTCAAGAATGACATCTTTGGGACGCTAGGAGCAGGAAGTGGCTCAGCAGAAGATCATTCCCTTGTTGAACCAGTTCTCCAGGTACCCTCTAGTACAGCAATATTTCTGCCCACAAGTACTTTTAAAACACACAATATCTGACTATTTACTCAGGGGCACCAACTTATTTTCCCTGAGATTGTCAAATAAAAAATGACATTAGCCAACACAACAATAGCCATGGTGTAAATGCCCTGTCTTGGACCATAAATATATAAGTCATATAATAGAGTTTCATCGTATTGGTCACATTGCATAATAAGGTTGCATTTGATTGGTTTACTCTTCGTACCAGAAATCCTTATGCAACTATAAGGACCTGATTATTTTAAAAAGTCACTTTGGAGCAAAAAGTGTAGGTAATTACTATTATTGTTTTGTAAATCAATCAAAATTGTACCTTTTCTTTTTTGTCAGCTTGGCAAAAAACATATTTCTGGTGTGCTGCAGAATTTTAGTAAATTAGTTTATGTGTGTCATGAGCTGAAAAAGCTTGAAAATCACGGTTCTAGTAGATTAGCATTGTTAAATAGTCAATCCTTATTATTCATGAATTCTGTATTTGTAAATTCATTGACTTACTAAAATTTATTTGTAACCCCCAAATCAATACTCATGGGCTTTCATGGTCATTTTCTATCACACAGAACACTGAATGCTTGAGTCATCCAAAGCCATGTTCTCAGCTGAGGTGGCACAAGGTGGTACTCTGCCTCCTTGTTTCAGTTTTCATTTTGTAGACAAACTTTTTAAAAATTTTAAACTGTCTAAAGAGTCACATTTCTCAAAAATTTTGTGTTTTTTTGTTGGTGATTTCACTGTTTAAAATGACCCCCACTCATGGTGCTGAAGTGCTGTCTAGTGTCCTAAGTGCAAGAAAGCTCTGATGTGCCTGACAGAAAAAATACATGTGTCAGATTAGCTTCATTCCAGGGAATGAGTTGTAGTGCTGTAGGCTCTGAGTTAGTGTTAATGAGATAAGTATATTAAATCTATCATATACATATATATACATATATAAAATGACTATATATATTATATATTTATTATAATATGTATATTATATATAATATGATAATATATATGACTATATAATATATAATAGATATATGATATGACTATATGTGTGTGTGTTACATAAGATGTCTCTAAATAGAAGCATACATCAAGCAAGGTTATATACTGATTGGTTAACAAAGATGTGACCAGAGGCTCATAGGAACCTAACTCTGTCTTTCCCCTAGGAACCTAATTCTGTTTGTGGCAATTTTATAGAATGTAACTGCCATAAATAATGAGAACTGACTACAGTTACCATTCACTGAGAGAGTCCTAAGGCCAAACAATGTGCTAGAACTTCATTTAAATTAACCCTAATTCTGTATAACTCTATAAATGAAATATAATTATCTCCAATTTATGGCTGGTACAACTAAAGCCTAAATAATTTGCCAATGTCACTAAGCTAGAGGGTTGAAGCCTGGGCTAAATAGCAGATGACTCTATTGTTCTCTTTCCTTTTAGCTAAGTTCATTTTGTGAACTAATCCTAGTTGGCCATCTTGTACAATTTTGCCATATCCATGTCCCTAACTCCCACCAGGTTTCTTTTCCATTGGGGTGCGCACAATACTCCCCCAAATCTTTTATTCACTGCACAGACCCACACATGGAAAATTCCCCATTGATTTAGGATACTTTTATACAGACAGTGCCACATGTTTGATTTTCTAGCCATATCCTTCTCCTCTTCTGTACTCATCATAATTCTAGCAGCCACTGGGATTCGGATGTTCAGGCAGAGCAAAAATATCTCCTAGCATGAGAGAGATAGCAAAAAAGGAGAAAGAGGACAAAAGACAAAGAATGGGGACAGGGTGGATTTAGAGAAGGAAGAGCAAAAGTGATAAAAATAAGAAAGGGACAGGCAGCCTTGTCTGTTCAGAAGATGCATGGAAACAAAGAGAAAGACCAAGGGGGAGAATGCAGAGGAGCAGACCCTGAGATGCACCAATCTTTATATTTGAAAATCATTTTCATTTCTATGATCTCATTTTGTATATCACAATCACTTTGCACGAGTGAAAGACACATTTATTTTCTACTTTATTGGTAAAAAAAGCTGAGGCATGAAAAGCTCTAGTGATTCACTCATGGTTGCAAAATTCTAATTTACTTCACATCCAAAATAGGCTATTTATATCATATAGAAAAATTCAGTAATTGCTTTCCTAGCATTTTGATTTTTAAGCCAATACCATTAATAGTCTATCAGGCAGTAAAGATATTTTCCTTTATTTTATGTATGAACCATATGACTGTTTCAATATTTTTACATAGCTACAACTTCTGTAAATTTTATTGTTCATGTTGAAACATTTGACTAAAATATCACATAACAACTGTTCTTTTTTTTTTGTTTTGTTTAACAGACATTTATTCCTTTAGTTGAACAACCTCTACACACAAAATAGATGGTTTGAGATTTCTGAGTGGAAAGGAATTTAGGACTGAAAGAGTCTGCTACATGTTTTCTGTAAATCATTTAACTGAGCCTTTTAAGACCCCCGAAGAAATTAAAAAAAAAAAAAAAAATTGGTTGAAAAAGAAAATCAGCAAATAGATTTTAGAACCAAACTATTGTTATCAAACCCAGATTTGGAAATTGGGGCCAATTCCTCTTCTGTATTCCCCACATGCTCAAACCCACCCTGGGAAACAGAGGCCTAGTAAATTGGAAAACAAGAGGCAGAGTGTGGCTTTAACATTAAGGTGGGCACAACTGAGGTCCTGGAAAGTTTGTGGAATGGTACGGATTTTGAGGGTAGTTTGAGCAGGAATGAGAAAAAGAACTGTACACAATGCATAAGGATTCGACTAGAAACCACGAACTTGTACTAACACCAACTTCATGACTTTTCTCAGTTGCTTATAGGAATAATGGATAGTGGGTTGACCCAAGATGACTTGTAAGACTAAATGGACTAAGCAACGAAGTACTGGTAAATAAAGCCAACCATATTCATCCCCCCCCCCCCCCAAGGTGGCTAGAGGGTTCATAATGGTTACTAAGTAACACAATACACCTTAAAGTTAATTACCTTGTCATGTACTTTATGTCCAATTTCTGTGTTTCAATACACACCAGTGTAATTACTATTTCTACTTTGCATAAAATTCAGTATTCTACAGATCCTAAGAAATGGGATTGAACCAGGAGTTTCTACCTTTTATGTGAAGGTCAATGGTACTGTGGAGACCAAGTCAGTTTTGTTTAGTTAACCCAGGATGTTTAATTTTAGAGAACCCTCTTGCAACAGGATTGTTACATTCTCCTTAAAAAAGGTGGCATTTTTTGACTTTTCTCCTTTCAGAAGCAGCAGTTATATTGGGTTAATCTAAAAATGTGAGCCCCCTAATTAATTTTCATTTTTCTACAAAGGATCATGAGTGGATTAGGCAGCTTTTGCATTTCCAAGAAAAACTCAGTTTAAAAATGTTTGTCCTTGCCACGCTGCAAAACAGCCCCTTGAGAGTAAAACCATTGCATCAACCCAATAAAGTTGTAGGTTTCATCACATGCACCAGTAAATCTACTGGCTAGTTCTGCACTCCTTTCACAGAATTTTACACCTATTATACCGAACAGCATTTTAACAGACGTAGAAAACTCCCTAAAAAGATAAAGTAGCGATTTTCAACCAGTATCTTGCGGCACAATGGTGTGCCACAAAAATTTTCAAAACATGCAACACCTGGCTATGTAGTCAGTGGCATGGGCCTCTTTTCCCTTAGATTGTCAAATAAAAAAATGACAACAGCTATCTGGTGTGAATGAATAAAAATTATACCTATTTTTTGGTCAGATGGTAAAAAACTAATTTTTGGGTGTGCCACAAAATTTTAGTAATTAATTTATATGTGCCATGAGATGAAAAAGGTTGAAAATCGCTGAGATAAAGCAAAGACAAGAGCGTTTATAAGAAACGATACACCATCAGTATAGTCTTCAAACATTATTGCACTTTAACTTTCATAATTTGACAATGCATTCATGAACAATCTGTAGACAACTAGCTTTAACAAATTAAAGAACCCTTTTAAGCAGACATGACTGTCTTAAATTGTAAGAATTTTACGAACATTACTTATATTAGCGGTAACGGTGGAGCTGGAGAGTATTGTGCCTTCTCCAAGCTGCACGGTGAGAACCACCAATAGTGTGGTGGAACTTGTGGCCCTTGCCAAGACGACGGCTCTTGCAGCCTGCAGATGTCAGCCCTCACATCTCCCTGTGCTTGTGGACTGGTTTGGTGATCCATTGGGTGTCAGGATTCCTTCTGATAGCTTTATGGAATGGATCAATGAGGATAACCTCAAAGAATTTGTATGTGGAATCTTCACCAACCCAGTAAGAATTCAGGACTCTCAAAGCCCCACAGTGGCGTCCAGCTCGCTCCTCGGCAACAGACTGAAGACTTCACGCAAACTTGAGCTGGTTAACACCATGATGAACAGGCTTGCCATAGGTCGCACCCTTAGGAACAAGGCGTTTGTGGCCACCACAGCGCACACGAATCCGATATGACATAACCTTGCTTGGCCTTGTATCCCAGCCTGCGCGCTTTGTCGGGGGCCGGGTGGGGCGGGGGACCCTGTGGAGCGCAGAGAGCTGGCGGTACTGCCAGCAGCGCACGCAGAGAAGGAAGCGCATCACATTGGACTGCTTCTTCCTCCACAGCTCCTGGATGTACTTGTAAGCGCCCATCTTGGCTTACCTAATGGCTGCAGCCACAGGGAAAGCACAACTATTCTTTTTAAGGGGGTCAAAATGTTGTCAATGGACAGAAACGTGTCATGTGAATAAAGATGAAAGCAGCTTTGTTGTACTTCTCTTCTCGGAATCTTTCTAGGAATATTACTAAATTCAAGAATAGGTCAGAAATGAAAAAAGGATGGGAACATAAAGAAAATCCTTCATGGTTAATTGAAATCATTCCTTTCAAAGTTTACTATTTCTACCCTGATGATAGATTCCCAGCTTTGAAGGACGGGTTCTTTCCAGATATAAAGGTGACAGCCACAATAGGATTTTTATGCAACTGTAATTGATGTCAGCAGGTCCAGACTGTGATACTTTATTGCAAATTTAACAGACATTTATGTAGCTGATTCAATGGGAGAAGTCCTGGGCTAGATGGGGCTGAGAGATACAAAAGGAAAACAATCTATGAAGGTTATTTTTGGCCAGTAAGGGATTGAAATTCCATTGATGCAAGTTGTTACACACCCACTACATGTGAGGTGCTCTCAATGCTATCATGCCATGTCTGCTCCCCACAGCCGCTGATGGAACAGAATAGGGCATAATGATTCTCCCAGTTGTGAGGAGATATCTGCAGAGATTCAGTGACTTCCTCAGTGAACAGGTGGCTCCCCCAACTTTGCATCCAGGCCTTCTTTCTTGGAGTGAAGAACTCCTGCCACTAACCCAGAAGGAAACAGCTAGAGAATAACTGAGTCACAGCCTCAAGTTGGGACACAAGTGCAAGGTGCAGCTTCCTGCTTCCCTTAATGGTATAGTAATTGAGAATGAGGACAAGAGCCTTTTGGGTTATAATGGATTATGCTACATAAAGAACACCAAAGCATGAACATTTTAGTGTTTCTTTAACAAGGGAGGTGGTGTGGAAATGTTTTCAAGGAGAAAACACCATTTTTCCATAGAGAATTTACTTGGCTAGTTAACAGAACTTTTTTTTTCTTGGACTAAATATAGTCACTTCTATTATATATCCTAAAGCCTCTGACTCTCCTGGTGGAGACATGGGAGCACTGCCAGGGGCCTGGAATGTCCCAAGAGGGTAAGAATATCCCACAATGAGAGATGACTCCTGCTGTTTTCTGGTCACTGCAGTTGTCAGGAACACTTTGCCTTAGAGGCAAAAGCTCAGAGCAGTCTCAACTCAGCTACAGAAAAACTGACCTCTTGTTCCTGGGCTCAAATATTTTCTTTCATATTTCCAGCTTTCATTTTTAAGCCTTTTGTAGCTAACACACATTTATTCCTCCAAAGATTTCTCACCTCCTTGGAGACCACAGGCTTCTGACATCCCCAGGAATCTTGAGTCTGTGACATCTGGGAAGCATGGACCGTTTGGACTTGCTAGGGTTCCTCATCATTACTTTAAACTGCAATGTGACTATTGTGGGTGAGTATGGGAAACACCCCCAATTTTCTTAATCTGTTTTTTGTTTTTATTGGTTTTTCATACTTACCCTCAAGACAAAGGCCTATACACTGTTGGAGCAAAAGGGGGCTGTGGGTTCAGGCTTCTGATGGCATCATGGTTCCACTATCATTTAAGGAAGGCTGGGTATGAGTGTTTTTCTCTGCTGGTGCCTCTTCTTGCTGATGCTCTCGTGCTGAATCTGAAGACTGAGCAGGGGGAAGTGGTAACACTTCTCTGGCTGCATTACTAGGAAAAGAAACAACACAGTAAAAGTTAAAGAGAAATTAATGTCTCAGTTGTGCTTTCTTATTGTTCATCTTTTTAGAGTTTAATCTTGAAGCCTAATTTTAAAGATTTGCAACTTCTTTTGTGCTTTAAACCAAATAACAATTTTAGTTTAAGCATTTTTTAAACAAAGAAAATAATAAAAATTTCTGAGTTTAGTGCAGATAAGACAAATTTTTAGAGATATGGGTGTTCTAGAAAAAGGGATTGAGAAAAGGATTAGTCATTGATATTTTTCTTAATCATTATTTTGTAGAATTTAAACAGATAAACTTGGTCTTTAAAAATTTGATTCAATAACTTTATCATGTAATAATATTATTTAACTGCCTTCATTTATAATGCAGTTTTGTTTTTCTGTTATCAGGTGACATTTTCTATATCTTTGCTATTTTTTTTTAATAATATTTACAAATTATTTTGGCTGAGTCTTAAACATGTTTCAAAATAATTGATTCACAACATGAAAATAAGACTTTGGAAGTTATTTTGATTTCCCAGTTTGGCCATATTTATTCATGATAAGTTGAAAAAAACCCCAGACCTCATGAATTCATAATAACTGAAATAGGAGAGAAGGAATTCTGACTTACTGAAACATTGAATGTTTTTAAAGAAATATTTTAATCCTCACTCAAGGATATGTTTATTTATTGATATTTAGAGAGAGAGAGAGGGAGAGAAAGAGAGAGTGTGCAACATCAGTGTGAGAGTGAAACATTGTTGGGTTGCAGCCCGCCCATGCCCCAGCTGGGGATGGAACCTGAAACCTAGGCATGTGCCCTAACCAGAAATCACACCTGCCACCTTTTATTGTATGGGACACATGCCAACCAACCGAGCCGCCAGGCCAGGGCTTAAAGAAATTTTATTTCAAGAGCCATAAAGCAACATTAAATACAAGCCCTGTTACTAAATGAAGGTCTTGTGGACCATTATTATAAATAAAGGCTTGCTGAAATTAATAGTTGCATTTGCTATACACAGTTACAGAAATGCATTAACATTCTTTAAGAAGCTTAATTTCCGGAAGAAAAAAAAATAAGATCTTATATGGATTATTCATTTTCTCAGGCCAACTTTCTTTCTGGACCTTTCAGTCCAGGAGACGTTATCAAAAGTCTGAACTAGCAGAGTCGAATCAGACATTTTTAGTATTTATGCTTCTTTAAAATCTGCTAATCTCAAAGTATTTTACAAACAAGTAGTTCACACAGTGTCTGACACATTGTAAGTGCTCGATAAATATTTGTCACGCACTAACTAGCTGATACTCTTGCTATGACTAAAATGCATGCTTATGGACCTTACACTTCACTCTCAGACCCAGTAAAACACTGTTGTTAGGAGGCAGTATGTTTCCATGGTGGTGCCCACCCTGCCTCCTCTTTTCCAGGGAAGATCTGGCTCATCTTCATGATCCTGCTCAGGATGGTGGTGATCGTTGTGGCCGGGTCCCCAGTCTACCAAGACGAGCAGGAGAGGTTTGTGTGCAACACTCTGCAACCAGGGTGCGCCAATGTCTGCTATGACATCTTTTCCCCAGTGTCCCTCCTGCGCTTCTGGCTGGTCCAAAGCGTGTCTGTCCTCCTCCCTTCTGCTGTTTTCAGCGTCTACGTGCTGCACAAGGGAGTCGAGCTCGCCACCCAGGAACCCTGCGGGCCAGATGGTGGTCTTGGGGGCCAGGATCCCGCTGACCCAAGCCCCGGGGACAGGCGCTGCCCGCTGCCCTGCAGGGAGGAGCGCAGCCTGGTGGTACCAGACTTCTCCTCAGGCTACATTGTGCACCTCTGTCTGCGGACCCTGGCGGAGACAGTTTTCGGGGCCTTGCATTACCTCCTCTTCGGATTCTCGGTCCCCAACAGGTTTTCCTGCAGCCATTCTCCTTGCTCTGGCGCGGTGGACTGCTACGTTTCTAGGCCCTCGGAGAAGTCCACCCTGATGCTCTTCCTCTGGGCGCTCAGCGCACTCTCCATGCTGCTCAGCGTGGCCGACCTGCTCTGCAGCGTGAGCAGGAGGACGCGAGGGCGACCAGGACCCACCGAGGGCCGCGGAAGGAGGAGACTGGATCCTGGGGCGCTGGACCGGCCAGGGGAGGATAGGGCGGCGCTAACGCACTGTGGCCGGTTGACCAGAGGGCATGGTGTCCGCAGCCCCAGTGGTCAGTCAGCCGTGTCGGGGCGGATGGAACTTCCAGATGAGGGTGAGAGTGACGGACTGTCCATAACCAGTGACAAGCTGCCCAGGGCTTACACAGAGCCTGGGGGCAGGCCCCGCACAGAGGTCCTTCAGGACCCCAGAAGCGAGCATCCCTTAACACCCCGGAGTCTGCTGGTCCGGCACTGCCCTTCCAGTCCGCCGCAATCCCCTTCTCGCCCAGCTGGTGTTGGGAGTGCTCCCCTCCTGGGGACCAGAAGGTCAGAGTGGGTGTGAAAAAAGCTGCCAGACAGCGCAGTGACTGAAAGAAGACTAGGACCCGAAGGTGCAGCATCACCTTGGCACGTGGGAAATCTTAATTTCCTGGAGAATGTCAACAGGCAGGAACGCCAGCTGGCCTGCCGCAAGGACTTGGAGATTCTGACGACTTGCATTATTGATTTAATTTAGATAGTGCTTTCTGCTGAAAAAAAAAACCCTTGACATTCAAATTCGGACTGGAAGCTAAAATGATTAATTGGAGAGTGTCAGGTTACTTACCAATCATGCTACACTCTGACTGGTCTATTGTCTTATTCTTTACCATAATATGTGCTTTATGTAAAACATGTTCTTTTACATTAATAGAGTTCATTATTGTTTTAATGGTTTCTGGTGAATTATATTTTTTTCTTTTTGTTTGTTTTTCTGCTTGGATAAAAGAGACATCTTAAGCATCATCAGTGGAGAGACACTGATGGGGCTTCTCCAAACCCCTTTAATAAAATTAATGCTGATTGCTTAAGATATACCACTTCATACTCCACACTTCATTGTGTTATAGGAGAAATGACAAATGCAGAAAATAAGACTAATTGGGGTTTTCAAGGGCATCTTTGATAGTTATTGCATGAGGATGGAAGGTGCATAGGATGTGGGTTGGGCCCTGACTTGCTTAGTTATTCTCATGTGTGTCTCCTCATAGTTTTCCGCAGTGATTAGAGGGACCACATGTGCTGTTGATGAGTAGCCCCAGTGCTGTCCCATGTTTCTAGTTAGGGTTTTGTTTGTTTCCTTTAGAGAGTTGTACAGTTCAGGTTGTGCTGAGATCCTTCATGTTCCAGTGCAGTGGATGAGAAGCACTGGGAGTGCTGTGGTTTTACAGTTTGTGCTTCTGTTTTCTGTGTGTGCACTAGAAACACAGCTGCCTCCTCTGCTCTTGGAATGGGCTTCCCACAAGTTCCTTGCTGCACTTCTCTGTGTTGCTCTGGTTTGTGTGATTCTGCTAGATTTTTAGTGATGCCTTCAGTTGGTTGATGGGAGGATGCAGCATAGCAGAAAGAGCTACTACCATGGGACAGGACAAACCTGTTCACTTTCATCAAGAGAGGAGGATGAGCCATCTGTTATACTTCCAGAATTAACAAATATCCTCTGGTCCCCAAACAAAATGGCGAGAAAGAGGAATTGCCTTCACCCATGCAAATAATAAAAAAGGCAAACAAATGTACTCATAAAACCAATGGACACTTATAACAGTTCTGAAGAAGACTTTGACAATGAAATATCTGCCAGGATGGAGAATAACATCCTATTCACTATATCTACAGGATGTGGAAGCAATTGGCTAAAACTTAAAAAAATTATCCAAAATTGGTTTTGGCATAAAATGATTTGAATGAATGTGCCTATGTTTAACATATGCAGTAAATAAATTTCTCTCTCTCTCTTGCTCCTCAACACATTGAAAACTGTGAGCTATGACTTGGCCCCCTTTCTTCAATACTTAGATCAATGTCTGTACATAACAAATAAATGTGATTTTTGAGTCTGATATTCCTAAACTATTCTGGGGCAAATCTGGTTTTTGTTTCCTGTAGTTCTGGTAGACTTCCAAAGATTGGGCATATCGTTAATGATATAAGGACTCAGTAAGGCTTCATTACTGTGCCCCCCGCCCCCGAATCAATACATGGCTTTTACTATGTCTTTAAAATATCACAAGTAAGTTTGAGGAATTATCCAGCATCTTGCTGCTTCTTTAGCTGGACAACTTAGATTTTATTCATTAACCTGCTGCACTGTTGCTTTTTCAGAAACATAGGTACCATCCAAAATTATTATGATATCCTTGTTTTTAACTGTTGTGGCTTGCTGAATCAAAGCAGCTGAATTTGATACAAGTTCAATGTCATTTTCTTCAAGAATTAACTCATCTTTCTGGGCTTGAGATACTGAACTAACAACTCCTGGCCTCATTTAAATCCTGAAAACATATTTTTCACCCAAGAAATTTCTGATTTCAGTAAGAGAACCATTCCCCTGAATAATGACATTGATGAGGAAGTGAGTGTTACACAGACCTCATCTGGTGATGGAAGCCCAGGGTAACACCCTTGATCATGTTTTGTACATGACTGAAGATGGTGTGAATAGTGGCCAGGTCCTTTCTGTTTCCCCTCCATTTGTCAACCCAGAGCCTCTTTTTCTTTCCAAGGAGACTAAGTTCTACATTGATGAGATTGAGGGTGACTTTGGAGCCCTTCACAACAACTGTATGTCCCTTCTGACTGATGTCTACATTTTCTGGAATATCAACAGTCTGCTGAGAATGGTCATCCTCAAAGCAGATGCAACAAAGAGTTTCATTATTATTTTGTTTTGTTTTATTGTATTTTACTTTAATTTAATTAAATTTATTTTATTTTACTTAATTTTATAATTTAATTTATATTATATTATACTATATTTAATTTAATTTTACTTTATATTTTAATTTAATTTAATGTAGTTTTTAATTATTTTTTGTTAATCCACACCTGAGAATATTTTTCCATTGATTTCTTTTTCTTTTTTCTAAAAATCTCTATTGTTGAAAGTATTACAGATGTTCCCTCTTTCCCCCTCATTGACCCTCTCCTCCTCATTCCCACCCCCTCTTGCTTTCCCCAAACTATTGTCTGTGAACGTGGTATATACTTTCACTTTTTTATATCTTCCTCTATTTCCTTTTTCAATGTGTCATAGTTTTCTGAGAATAGATTTTTTTTTTTTTTTTTTTTACCTCCGTGGTTAAGTTTATTCTTAGGTATCTTATATTTTTTGTTGCAATGGTAAATAGGATTTTGTTTTAGTTTCCCTTTCTGAGTGTTCACTATTGGTGTATAAGAATGCCATTGGTTTCTGGATGTTAATTTCATATCCTGCTACTTTGCCAAATTTATTTATTAAATCAAGTAGATAATGGAGTCTCCAAGGATTTCTATGTACAGTATCATATTATCTGAAAATAATGACGGTTTCACTTTCTCCTTTCCAATTTGAATGCCTTTTATTTTTTCTTCTTGTCTAATTGCTGTGGCTAAGACTTCCAGTACTATGTTGAATAAGAGTGCTTAAAGTGGGCATCCCTGTCTTGTTCCTGTTCTTAAGGGAAATGCTTTTAGTTTTTGTTCATTGAGTATGATGTTGGTGTAGGTTTTTCATATATGGACTTCATTATGTTGAGATATTCCCCTATTGCTGAGCATTTTTAACAGACATGGGTGCTGATTTTGTCAAATGCTTTCTCAACACCTATTGATATGTTCATACGATGTATTTTTTATTTTGTTTTATTTTTAGACTGAGTGGGAGGGTAAGAGAGAGAGATAGAGGGAGAGAGAAACATTGATGTTAGAGAGACACATTGATTGGTTGCTTCCCACATGACCCCAACCAGGGACTGAACCGCAACCAAGGTTTGTGCCCTTGACTGGAATCTTTGTTCTCGGGTCTATGCTCTAACTGCTGAGCCAAACTGACCAGGGCTGTTCGTGTGATTTTTATCTTTCATTTTGTTTATGTGGTGTATCACATTTATTGATCTGAAAATATTCTACCAGCCTTGCATCCCTAGGATGAATCTCACTTGGTCATGGTGAATAATTTTTTTAATGTGTTGCTGAATCCAATTTGCTAATAAATTGTTGAGGATTTTGGCATCTATGTTCATCAGGGATATTGAGCTGTAGTTTTCTTTCTTTGTACTGTCTTTTTCTGGTTTTGGAATTAGGATTATACTGGCCTCATACAAAGAACTTGGAAATCTTTCTTCATCTTGAATGCTTTGTAATAGTTTTAGTAGACTACGTGTTAGTTCTTCTTTGAATGTTCGGTAAAACTCCCCTGTGATGCCATCTGGACCTGGGCTTTTGTTTGCTGGGAGTTTATGAATTACAGCTTCAATTTCCTTAGTTGTTGTTGTTCAAGTTTTCTAACTCTTCCTGGTTCAAATGTGGGAGACAGTGTGATTCTAGGAATTTTTTTATTTTGCCCAGGTTGTTCAAGTTGTTGGCATATAATTGTTTATGGTACTTTCTAACTATCCTTTGTATTTCTGAGGTGTCAGTTGTTACTTCTCTTTCATTTCTGATTTTGTGTATTTGAGACCTGTCTCTTTGTTTCTTGGTGAGTCTGGCTGAATGTTGTTTAAATTGTTTATCTTTTCAAAGAACCAGCTCTTGGTTTCATTGACCTTTTGAATTGTTGTTGTGTTTTTTTAACTATATCATTTTTTTCTGCTCTGACATTTATTATTTCCTTCTGTCTACTTTCTTTGGGCTTTGCTTTTTGTTCATATTCTAGTTCATTAAGTTATAGGGTTAGATAGTCTATTAGAAATTTTTCTTCTTTCATGATGTTGGCTTGTAACGCTATGAACTTCCCTCTTGGAACTGCTTTCTCTGTGTCCCATAGATTTTGTGTTGTTGTGTGTTCATATATATTGATTTCCAGGAAGTTTTAAATTTTATTCCTTGATCTCCTTGGTAACCCATCCATTGTTTAATAATATGCTAGTTAGCCTCCATGTGTTGGAATGTTTTTGAGTATTTTTATTGTAATTCTAGTTTCATGCCATTGTGATCTGAGAAGCTGTTTGATATGATTTCAATCTTCTTGAACTTGTAGAGACTTAGTTTGTGTCCTAACATGTGGTCTATCTTTGAGAATGTCCCATGTGCACTTGAGAATAATGTGTATTCTGTAGTTTTGGGGTGTAATTCTCTGTAAATATCTATTAAATCAATCTGATCTAGTGTGTCATGGGGTCTCTGTGCCCTTGTTAATTTTTTGCCTAGAGGTTCTATTCAGTGATGTCAGTGGGGTGTTGAAGTCCCCTACTATGATTGTATTGCTGTCAATTTCTCTCTTGAAGTCCTCCAGAAGTTTTAAAATATATTTTGGTGCTCCTATATTGAGTGCATATATGTTTACCAAGGTTATATCCACTTGTTGGATCACTCCTCTTAATATTA